CACTGAGCTACCCAGGTGTGCTCGGTGCCTCCTAGGCGACTATAGGACTCCCGTCAGTTTGAGGACCTCGCAAGGCGCGGGGCTGGCCAGCACTAGGGTTGGTTGGATTATTCTATCCAGAGTTCTGGGACCGGTCTCTTGCGTCTCCTGGGACCAGGCGCTGCAGCACGCCTCGCCAGTATGAAGTATGAAGAGTCACCTCCCATGAGCAAGAGCGAGGCTCCCCGGGCGTGTGCAACCGGGCCCGCGAGGGCAGCCTGGCCATGAGTGGGAGGTGGCGGCGCCCGGCGGACGCCTGACCGCCACCCTAGACCTCCTCCGGCTTCCGCAAGCACTTGCACTCTGGATCCGGATTCGGAACCTGTAACTGACTGCCTCCTAGGGTCGGTCACGTTGCAATGACCAATGGCGTCTGCGAACCGGGCCCCTAAGCATGACTTGCATCGCCTTGACCCTGCATAGTTGACGCCAATGGCGGGGAGGCACTGACCACAGGTCTACAGGGCCTATGTCCCTCTCAGCTTGGGACTGGCTTCTTGCCCTGCTAGGACTTGCTTCGGGGCTGCTACTACTGACGCCGCTTAGGACAGCTGAGGCCGCCCCGGCGCCACTTTACCTCGCCTTAAGGCGACACTAGAGCAGATGAGAAAGTCTGGGCGGAGTCCGACTGAGGGGCAGTCCCCCTCCCACAAGCGTCTGTTTTCCTCACGTCTTCTCTCCAGAGCTGGGTGCTGCAGATTTTGGAGGAAAAAACCGTGGCTACAGGAACCATTCCCAGCTCAGTCCCAGGCGGAGGGCTGGTGGGAGGCTGCCCACTCGCTCAGCCCAGACACTAAGCATCTGTGCCTGAGTACTGGGGATGCCTGCTAAGTACAGACTACAGCAGGACAATCCCTAACCCCGGTTCAGTAGCTCCCAAGCTGGAGACATCTACAATCTGAGCAACTGGGGCTGAGAGGAAAGGAGTAGTCGGAAAAAAGACACTTGAGCAAGCAGGTGCCCTTGTAGAGGCAAGGTTTAGATAGAAAATCTCCAAGATGCCAAGCTCTGATGTGGGGCATGGACGGAGGGACACCTTGAAAACTGCCAGCTTATTGTGTGGATAAGGATCTTGCTTCTATTAACTCCCAGATGTCAGCAAGAAGGGCAGTTTGGTCGTGGTAAAGGCCAGTGACTAGGAAGTCTGGAAGTCCAAGGGACACAGGAATCTAGGGTTCCGTGGCAGGAAGCTTCTGGGTTGAAGCTTCTGGTTCTAGGGGAGCCAGAGGCCACCTGTGCTGCTTAGAGAGTCTGCCTGCCAGGTTTGTGATGGGTTTTTAAATGTGTATTTGGAAGACATTTTTAAAAATCTGTTCTCTGTTTGGTAGAATATTTTAACAGCCAGCAAGGAGATGGATTTACAATTTAAACACAAGCCTTTCAGGGCCTTGTCCCAGCCCTGCCCACCCGGACATGGAAGCTGGCCAGCAGTAAGCTGCTTTCCCTTTGGAGCCTGGACTAGGCTTCAGGACCCACCTTCCGCAGCTGTCCGGTTCCCTCTTGTCACTAGCTCTCTGCCTGCCTCCATTTTACAGATGACTTATTCCCTTGCAGGCCCTGGCAGAGCAGCATCCTTCTGAGGCTCACTGACTCACTACATAGCGTTAGTGGGGAGACTCACAGGACTCCAACCCATGACTGTGCAGGGTGCTACCACAGCCACAGGCCTGTCCCAGGGTTGCCTGGCCAGACAACTGGTTAACTGGTGATGCGCAACACACACACACACACACACACACACACACACACACACACACACACA